AACGTAAATGTAATTGCAGAATAAGAAATTAGTAAAACAGACTGTTTAAACACTTGATTTCAGTCTTATGCCGTGAATTTTCAGATTTTCTAAACAATAGTGGATATGCGTAAACCACTGATTTTGGACATCGCCTTAATTGAACGGTCATATCTACTGTCCAACTCAACCGGTACAGTGTAGCTTTACAAAAACTATATGATTTCTATCAGGAAGACTAATAGTTCATAATATGCGGAACTGCGAAGTGAGCAGTGTCACTAATGAACGACGTGGTTAATGGTGCTTCGAGCAGCTGAAAAACGTCTTTCGCATACTGAAATGCCGATGATGGAGTAATTTAGCTGCGGCTCCTAATGTATCTCCTATGATAGTCATACTGTGCATATTTCAGCTATTTTACATCATTAGGAGATCGCTCTTTTTAATTGTACGAAAGTTTATTGTGTTGCAATGTCAAGTGGGGGCACTATTATTTTTCAGAGAGATTCAAAATTTAGTTCTCTACGTGCTCTAGAGTTTCGAGATCTCTCCTTGTCTGTATTTTGTACATTTCACGGAACAATTACCTAAGCAAAGCTCAAACTTGCTCTGCTCTTTTGATTCATTCTTAAAATAAACTCGGAAGCTTATGCTCCATTTTCTTAAATTAGTGCCATAGCGTCTGAGGGATAGGGAGAACAGTGGACCCTAAAAATGTAGTAAATCCGTTTTAAAGATGTTCAAACAAGTTTTCAAATTATTTTATAAATTTTCAATGTCTTCTAGGCATATTAGAGGATTTTCCAACAAAAGTCGAAAGTTGATTATTCGATTTGACTACTCGTAGAGAAGTTCAACCAACATGAATTTTTCGTATGGAAAGACGGAATCAAAAGCAAATTTGATGAGATTTTATTAGACGTTCTAGTAAATTTACAATCGAAGAAAAATGATCTCCTTATCAACTCAAACTCATCTAGCTATAATATGGCAAGAAGAATCCTGCTTGAAGGAATCCTGTAAAGCGGCAATCTAGGCATCAAATCAAACAATTACGTCTGATGTGGAAAAAATCATATGTTGTACAATACCGCTCACAGAATGTGCAAAATTTCCGTGAATGTTGCAGAATTTCGGGAATTCCGGGAATGTCGCGAAATTCCGGAATTGCGCGAACCTTCGCGGAATTCCCGGAATTCTGCGACATTCATGGAAATTTTGCACATTCTGTGAGCGGTATTGTACCTGTATCCTGATACATTATACTTGCAACGCAGAGCTCTATCTCTTCTTTTTTTGGAACTAAAGGAACACCTGTACTCGTAGCGGCAACTTTTCAGTGATATGCATAGAAATTGCAAATATAGCAGGCAGAAGAAATACAGAAAAGGAAGAAGTACAGTAAGTTAGGTAGGAAGTCATTTCGCTAAAATAACTTCCTACCTAGAGGCTCTGCTTAGGAAATCTTGCGCGTTAGAAGCAAATAAAAAACTGGCTAACATATGCTTCAGCTTCAAATTTAGAGAGCTACCTTTGTGCAGATTGAAGAGTTTGCCTTGGTTACTTATTGCGTCAAATGTGTTAAAGGAAACTTTTGGTCTATTCAACTGTTTAATTTCTGCTATGTTTAATTTAGATATATTCCTCTTCAACAGAACTACACTACGTGGATGAAGTGTTGACGTTTTTCCTCCTAGTTCTCCTTATAGGTCACTACCTGAATTAATATTTGATCGATCCATTTTTTGTTGAATGTTACCCCTTATTTTCTGTACACTGACCGGTAACGCCCCATGCCAGCATACTTGTAGGTTAATTAGCTAATTTGTAACGCCACAGCTGCGGTGCCGTGTAAAATCTGTGCCGTCAGAAATCGAATAAACCACAGTTGTCTCTTGAGATCAACAAAACACAGCCTTTGCTTAAGTGAACTGAGTACTCTTTTCACTTCAATCTTGAAGGATGCATTTATAACAGCCTTTCCAGATGCGTCCTATGCCACTTTGAAAAGCTTTGAAGTTGAATCCATATCTGCTTCCATTACTGTACTGCCTTTGGAAGTCGAATTATGAGCGGGGTCCAGCTGGGGTGTGGCACGCCAGAGGAGGACGTACTAGGAGTCAGAGAGGGAGGGAAGGGGGTCGTTAGCGAGGTGATACTGCTGTTAGTGACAACATGATATTCGTTAGTAATGTCAGAAAAGCCCATTATGCATATTAGAACATTGATGGATGTTTCGGCCTACTATCGTATACGTAGATAGATCATAAAAGAGCCTTAGAAGCATAAGAGCATCAATTTTGTAATTAGTATGTCAATCACCCTTCTGATTGATTTCTTTAGCAGAGTCCAAGACTCCGCTAAAGAAATCAATGGAAGATTTATATGCCAAGGTTTATGGATAGTCGAACATGGATTTGTCAATTAACCCCTGTGGACCACGTTTCAGCAAAATCTGAGGTTTCAAGATATTGGTCATCCAAGTGAGAGATCATTTTCGAACATGTTAACTTTGTTTTAGAGGTGAGTTAATTCCTTTTTGGTACTTAATAGAAAGTATACTATTTCTTCGCTCATATTAGGAATCCCACCTCAAATAACATTCAAACCATGGAACCAAGAGCAAGCCAAAATTTCGTTTGTCTCATTTTCGTTTTCAAAATCTTAGATTAGGGAAGACCAATCAGGCCCAAGTCACTTTTGTTAAAATTGCGAGGTTTAGGCTATCGGACAAATTTATTCTTGCCAGGGCTCGGCACGAGCTGGCACCAGGGAAATTTCAAAACGAAGTTTCGCTTGATTTTGAAAATTTCGTACGAAGTCCCCTTTGATCTGTTTTGAAGACCCGTCATATGTTTTGATTATGCAAAAGTATGTAGCAGGGTTTTCATGCATGCTGATTTCATGGAACAACTTTTCACAGCTTTCTGAGCTTTTTAATTGTTTGAATCACATCTTGTGAAGCAGAAAAAGCTTTTTTCGACTGCAGAGCAGACTGAGTAATTTTCAGATGGAAAACGCTGAAAGGAAAACATTATGAAACTGTTTCTCTCCTGTATGTAAACTTGTACAGTATAGATAAATGTTATGTAAAAAAGTGTGAAAACTTATGTGAGCAAAGTGTCGGTGCCAGCTCAGCTGGCACCCAGCTGGCACGGTGCCAGCTAATTCAGAAAAAAGTTCAGCACAGCTTTCATCGTGAGTTTTCATAAGTTTTTGGGCCATAGTTCGGGTCCCCCAACACGCATGCACACACCAAATTTGGTGTCATACTATTGCGTTTTGGCTGAAAACAACGTCTTTGCTTGTTTGATGGACAGCATGCCGGTGGCATGCCGGTGGCATTCTTGCGGCTCTTCTCCGCCCCGGACCCCGGAAAACGATTTCCCCTTTGCTTTCCGCTTTAAAAACGATATCCAGCTTGACTCGGTGCCAGCTGTGCCGAGCCCTGATCCTTGCCGTCTTCCCTAGCAGTTAACATAGTGGCGCAGACTTAGCATGTTACCGTAACCCAATACTTTTGCAGTATTTTAATTTGCATAGATAGGGGAAAACGACTTTAACTTTCCCGAGGAGGAAAGATTTTGAATGAAATCGACTCTTTGTAGACAAGAAGGGTCTGCAGTGGCAACCGAATAGAACACAGATATCTGAATGTTCCGAAGGTAAATTGATGGGATGTGGCAATCCCTAAAAAGTTATGGTAGTCACAACTTCTTTGGGGTGTGCCACACCCCATTTACGCACCTCCAAATAGAATTTTAGCGAATAAACTTCGATACAGTTCGATAGCCAAAATTTTTATAGAAGCGGTTAGAGCTGAATCCGTCCTCTTTCCTGTAAGCAATATTTGCTGGAAGCAGACTCACAACAAGTGAAAGTGGGGCAATTGAATTCTGGCTGTCTCCTAATTCCACAGTTTGATGTTTATTTGAAGCAGGATTCGTGATATGGTCAAGAGGAAGTAGTGCTTTATTGAGTAGAAAAAGATGCATGTTTGAAAATAACCACCACTTCGGTGGCCCAGTAATGGGAACCCGCAGGAATCGTTAAAACAGGGCCCGCAGGGGTTGCTTGACATTGCTTAGGAATACGTCACGAATTATGGTTGGTAGAGCCTTAATGTCGTACCTACGGTAGGCAAACGCTAACGCCGGGGTGGGGGAGGTATTGAGACAAAGCTTAGGGGAGGGTCGCATCCGGCAGCTGTGTGCTACAACTCTTGCTCGACCTGGTTCTGAGTCAGTGGCGTACCCAGGATTTCGGCTCGGGGGGGGGCGACAAAAAATTTTTTCTAATGAAGGGCACTCCAAAAATCTTTTTGGGATGCTTCCCAAAATTTTCTCGGGCTTCTGACCTCGAAATTTCAGAAAAAGGGGGCGTGGCGACAGCCACACCTCCGAAAAAAATTTTTTTACAAGGCTAATTTGTATCTTAAAATATTTTTAAAAATTGTTTTAATTATTTATAAGTAAAAACAAGTCGCTTGCGCATTTTTACAACACATTTGAGTAACTTTCAAAAATTTCGCGACCCATTCTCAGGGGGGGGGCGCCCCCCCCCCTCGGTACGCCACTGTTCTGAGTGTACATTAGAGCGAAACGTAAACGCAGAAAAATAGATAAAACCAAGTGTTATGGTCTTTCCAGCAATTTATTTGAGCGCTAAAATGAGTATGATTGTGACAGACAGAAGGTATTCATTATAAGTGCTTTGATAACCAAACTGGAACATTCAAGCAAATGGGACGATTTTGTTTGTTCATTTGAGTAAAAGAAAACCTCGGAGTCTAAAGGCGCTTGCCAGATAACGAAGGCAGATTTGGAATCACTGTTCAATGTTTTTCAAAGCGAAGTAAAAGTTAGGATGACTTCCCTTGTTAGTCATCCAATAAATCAGAAGCGTTGCAAACGAATACCGAATTTTCGGTAAGACACTTCTTCTAGCAATGCTTGGGTAATACTAATTTTTCGCTTTGTCTCGTCTCGTCTTGTTTAGTGCTCGGTTCTTGCTGTTTCCATTTTTATGATATATTAGGGTATCTATGCATACGCATATGCGATGCTTCCTATTCTTTGTCATGCTTGTGTGCTGCAGCAGTAATCTATTTATTGGTCGCATGTCCACTAGACCATCAGCCGGAAAACGAAGCATACAGAAACAGCGGATTTCAGGTAGATTTTAAGCAATTATGTGTATTCCACGTCTCATTAAGTATTATCTCACAAATTTACATGCTGAACACAATGTGAATGACAGATTTGAAAAAAATACTGAAAGTGAAAGGATTGTCGGGCGTAGAATTTGTAAGAAGTATTTGATCGGGAAAGGGTAGAGCAAGAGGTGTGGCGCATGACCGGTGAAGGACGCGCCCCGAATGAACTCTAGAAGCATGAGTGCTTAGCGATCACAACAACTGGCTCCTTGTCAGAGCTCCTATTCTTTCTGCGGTGAGAGCAGTGTGCTAGAGGTGTAAAAATGGTTAGTTATGGGTATAATGTATGAGCCAAATAGTTAATTGGGCCCTTGATCTTGTCATTTTTATTCTTCTGGGGCGGTATCTATCAATCTCCCATTCGCTGTTCGGACCCTTGGTAACGAAAGTCGGGACAAGCGAGAGCGCCAACCCGTAATTCATCAAACTTTAAAGTACGGTCCGATATGGCAAGTTTGGCCATGTCGGGCACGGCAATCGGGCAGCAGGCCCGATCTCGACAGTACGGGCTTCGCTGCCAGACTGCAGTGCCCGACATTGCCAAACTTGCCAGATCGGACCATATTCTTCAATAGACAGGAACCCGATCACCAGCTTGGTTTCGCGTATCGTGGGCATCAGTGCCCGCGCCTGTACGGGCCCTCTTACCTGTACACGAATCCCTTCCTATATAGGAGATTGATAAATACCGCCTTTGATTTCCTAACAGGTTGGACAATTTGCTTAGTCGTGATGAAGTCTGAATGGATAGTTTACAAGGTCACTCTACTTTTTCACAAGGGGCGGTATTTATCAATCTCCTGTCTGGGAAGGGGTTCCTATGCAGGTAACAGCCCGCACAGGCGCGGGCACTGGCGCCCGCAATATATGAAGCCAAGCTAGTGACCGGGCTCCTGCCTGTTGAAGAAAATGGTCCGATCTGACAAGTTTGGCCATGTCGGGCACGGCAGTCGAGCAACAGTTTCCCCATCTCGACGAGTCGGGCGGCACTGCCCGTTTGGGCTGCGCTACCCAGAGTTTTATATATTGCGGTAAAAGCGCTCTCGCCTATGTGGGCTCTCGTTAACTGGCCCGCACAGTGAATGGGGTTGATAAATACCGCTTAAGAAGGCGATACAGCTGAAACGTCGGTCAAATAAAGAGATGTACCGATCTTGTGCAAGCTGAAAAAATCGGTTGAAGGACTGAATATCATTTTTGTGATCGGCATGTCAAATCACCCCTATGCACTGAGGTTTAGCGAGATTTGAGTCTCCAGATATCGCCAAGCGGAATTGTCACTTTAGAACATAATCAGATCTTTGAGGAGCGAGCCTCCACTCTTCGCTCAATACAAAGCACAAGAACATCTTGTGCTTTGTATTGAGCGTGGCCCATGTTAGAAACCCATAACAAAATACAATCGACAATAAATAGAAATGATCAAAACATGTTTACTGCACTGTTCGCTTGCAATGGGTGGCTCAGCAACTACTGCTCAGACGGATGAGAGCGAATTAGGAGAAGTATAGGAGAATTAGAAGTATCAAAAAAGCCAAATTTTTGTCTCCTCCAAAATGCCGAAAAAAGTGAATCCTTTCGAATTTTTGCAATATTCCCTCGCAAAAAATGCGTGAAATCCAAAGTTTACTGCGCTACTCAATTGAGAATCGGCTATAATTGAACATACAATACCGCTCATAATTCGTCAAAAAAGTCGCCGGACTGCGGCGCACTCCGCCACACTCCACCACAGTGCGGCGGAGTGTGGCAGAGTGCGGCGGAGTGTGACAGAGTGCGCCACACTCCGCCGCACTCCGCCGGAATGATCGTCAATTTAGCCATATCTCGCTTCAGAATGGACGAATTCTGAATCCGAGGACACCGTTCGATTCAGCTCGACGAGAAGCATCATCTTATATATGAAGCTGAACGTCTGTTTGTCTGTTTGTTTGTACGTATGTTAAGAATAGGAAAATCCATTTCTGAACCGATCCGGACCAAACTTGGCACACATACACTTCGGGCATCGGCGGGTGTCATAGGCTACTTTTCGTCATCGATCGATATCGATTTTATCGATTTTTATCGATTTTTTTGCAGAGTTCACATACGGGGCTGGGAGTTTGCATAGTGGGGTAATCGAGCATGGGGATTCCGAATACACTATTAGTTTTAAGGATTATCGATTACTTTTATCGATTTT